ATCACACTCCTATTACAGGGGTTCTTCTACTGATAGCCCAGGGTCATAATCTATGTTTTCAAGCGAAGCTAGCTGGACATCTCTGTGGAAACGATAAGGAAGCTGAAGCACAGAAAGCCTAAGGAATGCTTGATTCCCACCACCTCCTAGTGGTGGACACCTGCGGTGTCAGGTTTGGGATTCAGAGCCTCTTACCATCCCCTCATCTCCAGATCCCAAGCCTTGTGCCTGGGTGGTAGCTAACCAGATTCAAGGAGTCTGGCAGGGGAAACAAATGCATAAATATATAGAAACATAAATATGGAAACAGTGTCACATTTGGTGAGATGCAAACATGTGCTGTTTGTTGAGTGTGTGTTAAGTGCTTTGAGGGTACAGATATCCTGAGGACAGATGTAGTGAGGGAAAGTGGAGAGCTGAAGTTTGAATTGGAGAGAGATGGAAGGCCCTCATGGGCAGGATAAGAGTGAAGAGAGCAAACCTGTCTGAGCAGAACGCTGATGATGGTGCGGACATGAATCTGGCCACACCAACTTTATGAGCCAAACACAAACCAGAGGAACCACACAAAACACACATTCTGTACATATTGAAAGACTGCACATCGGACTAGAGATAGCTGTACATATATCTCTAATAAAGAAGGAAGGCTGGAACCAGATGGGAATAAAATGCACCCAGTTGGTGAGAACTGGGAAGTTTGAAAGAGGAAAGGAAGGAAACTCAGATGAAGGTGCTGAAAGGCAGAAGGAGGGTTCAGTTTGAGGAATACGTGTCTGTGCTGAGGTGTGAAATCCAGAGACAGAGCCATCTTTGCTGCGGTGAAATTTGTGAACAGAAACCAGGAGGGAGCATGGGGTGGGAAGTGGGAAGGTGGATAAGGAGTATAATTTTGACACACTGCATGTCAGGAGGACTTTTTCAGATGACAAAGAGAACAGGAATGAATCAATTTGTGAGAGTTCAGTATAATAAGCAAGCATGCGCTGGGGAGAAGAGGGAGTAGGAACAAAGGCAGGAAGTTCAGGTTGCTGTCGGGTGTTCGGGTGTGGCCCGGGCCATCTGGAGTGGAATCCTGTGCTTTCCTCCCTTTGGCTCACCCGCCAAGTGGGTTTGTCTCAAATCATAAGCACCCAAAGGGTAGCAACTATAGAGGGCCTTGGGAAAAAATGCAGTAAAACAAATACCTGCCTGCCTCATGCCTGCTCGGCTCCCATTCTACCACAGTCCTTTAGTTACTTTCTCCAGTTCCAGGGGTGTGTGAACAAACACAGACTCAAGCTCTGAATTTTGGGACCCGTTTCCTCAGCTGCACAGTCTCCATTCCTTATGCTCAGTATGTTGAAGGTATAGTTGCTTTCATTTTGGGGACTTTCCTTCAGCAAAATTCAGTCCTTTAGGAAAAATGTGTCTCTCAGTGCAAGTGGACATTTTTGTTGTTTATTTGGTCCTCACCCATTTCCCCCTTCCTCTATGCCATTCATCTGTACTAAAATAATTTTTCCTCGTCAGGGAGGAAGAACTTTTCTACTGCCCTCTTATGTTCAGTCGTTGGGGGATTGTAAATTAAATCAACAGATTAACAAGAGAAAAGACCTTTTAATTGACAGAAGTAATCAGAGTTCACAGAAAAGTATGACTCAAAGAGGCAATCAGAATGTGATGCTGACATACTGTCTGAATAAGGATAAAGGAGTGGTAGAGAGGGCACTTATGGGAAATAACTTTTAGAAAAGATAAATAATAGGCTTTTAGAAGAATAGATGGAGATGTGATAGTTTTGTGACATGTCTGTTTAGGTGATTTATTATCCCGCTGCTGACATCTTGTCTCTGGTGATGGGAGTCAATCTTCCCTGGTCAATCTTCCCCTCCCAAACTGCTGGGAGGGAATTTATGGCAGTTGAATTATTTTGGGGGCACTGCTTTTAGGAAGACAAAAGAGTTCAGAAAAACAAAACAAAACAAAACAATTCATCCTGCATCTGTTAGTTCTCAAATGCCTTCAGCTTAAAATAACCTCTTTATGCCACAGGAGCATATTCTGAGCTCCTTTATTGTAATAGCAGGAAAAAAGTCCAAATCTGGTGAAATTTGCCTATTAAACTGTCTTAGGGCCGGGCACGGTAGCTCACGCCCGTAATCCTAGCACTCTGGGAAGCCGAGGTGGATCGCTCAAGGTCAGGAGTTCGAAACCAGCCTGAGCAAGAGTGAGACCCCGTCTCTACTAAAAATAGAAATTAATCGACCAACTAAAAATATATATACAAAAAAAAAATTAGCCGGGCATGATGGCGCATGCTTGTAGTCCCAGCTACTCGGGAGGCTGAGGCAGTAGGATTGTTTGAGCCCAGGAGATTGAGGTTGCTGTGAGCTAGGTTGACACCACGGCAGTCACTCTAGCCTGGGCAACAAAGTGAAACTCTGTCTCTAAACAAACAAACAAACGACATCTCACATTTCCCCCTCCCCTGAGTCTTGGTAACCAACATTCTATTTTCTGTCTCTGTGATTTTTTTTGACTACTGTAAGTATTTCACATAAGTGGAAGCATACAGTATTTGTCTTTTTTGACTGGTTTATTTCACTTAGCATAATATTCTCAAGGTTCATCTGTGTTGTAGCATGTGTCAGAATTTCCTTCCTTTTTATGGCTGAATAACATTCCATTTTCTGTATATACCACATTTTGTTTATCCATTCATCTGTCAATGGACATTTGGGCTGCTTCCACCTTTGGGTTATTGTGAATGATGCTGCTATGAACATGAGTGTACAAATATTTCTTCATGGTCCTGCTTTCAGTTCTTTAGGATATACATCCAAGATGTGAGATTTCTGGATCATACTATATCTACTCATTTTTAATATAGAATTTTCATATGTACTTTTCTCTGGTCTGCTTTTTGAAATAGTATCAGTTGGATACCTTTCTATATAAGCAATTACATATCCACATTATTCTTTTTATGGTTGCGTAGTATTCCACCATATAAATTTACTGTGATTTATTTCCCTGAGAACCCTTTGAGAGACATTTAGCTATTTCCAATGTAAAATAAACAGTACTGCAGTTCCTCATACATATTTCCTTGCACATGTGAGAGTAAACAAATTTCTAAATGGATTATAGATTAGCTAGGTCAAAGGCTATGCATTTTTCATTTTAATAGACATTGCCAAAAGACCTCTTAGAGAGGCACATTGATTTTATACTCCCACCCAGTGGCTATGAGTGGCAAATTATAAAAAGAGCTTTTGTTTTGTTTTGTTTTTATGTTTAAAGCAGGAACAATTTCTTATAAAGTCTTATAAATTAGATATATAAATTCTGGTAAATTTGTTAAATTGATCTCATTACCCAAAGCCTTTCTTATCCTGCCTAATGACTTATATTATTCTGACTCTTGTATTGTTATTCACTGTTAATGTATAAGGATTTTGTCTTCTTAGCTAGATCCTTAATCCTCGAGAGTGGAGATAATTTACTATACCCATACTTACCTCCACAGCTAGTTTGGTTCCATGAACTTGCCCAGCACTTGTTAAATTTGTACATAGAATGAATGAAATTTTTGTTTTTACTTCAGAATGAAGAGGTCTTGAGTCTTCTTCTTTTTTTTTTCTTTTCTATTTTTCTTGAGTAGATGTCATACGTGAAATAGCTGGAGCCACTGAATTCTAACATCCACGATAATAATGGCAGCAACAGCAGCCACTTATATTTATTTTTGAGTGTACACTATGAATAAAACATTGTTCTAAAATGCTTGACATGTGTTGTCTCATTCAATGCTCACCACATGAAACAGGTGCTATTCGTAACTATATCTTATATAAGGGGAAACTGAGGTGTATAAGGTGAACTGATTTGCCCAAGGTCACCTGCTTGGACAGCAGCAGGTGCTCTACAGAGGACTCTGGTTCATCTGACTCCCTGGCCATGCCCTTCATTCCTGCACCACACTGTCAAGGCATATAAAACTCCACTCACCCAACTTGTCATCTACACATTGATCAACTACACCTCTTCCACCTGCCGTGGGGCTGTCTGGCATCTTCCCAGTGTGGCAGAGTGATTAGAAGTTTCCTCATTTGGGGGAAACCCTCGTTTTTAGGAATGTTATCTTGTTAACTTTTAGGAAGTTATTACTTCCAAACATTCTTATTGTTCCTAACTCTAGGTATATTTATGAAAGAAAATACTTTCTTTTTTTATTTTATTTTTTTTATTTCATAGCATTACAGGGATACAAATGCTTTGGTTACATAAATTGCCTTTGCACTGCCCTACAAGCATGCCCATCCCCCAGACAGCATGCACCACATCCCTTAGGTGTGGATTTACCCATCCCCTTCTCCCCCATCCCACCCGCCTGACACCCTATGAATGTTGCTTCCCATTTGTGCACATTAATGTTGATCAATTTGTACCAATTAATTGGTACATGTGGTGTTTGTTTTTCCATTCTTATGATACTTCCCTTAGAAGAATGGGCTCCAGCTCCATCCAGGATAATACAGGAGGTATTAGTTCACCATTTTTTTTTTTTTATGGCTGAGTAGAGCTCCATGGTATACATATACCACATTTTATTAATCCACTCATAGACTGATGGGCACTTGGATTGTTTCCACATCTTTGCAATTGTAAATTGTGCTGCTATAAACATTCGAGTGCAGACTTTCTTTCTTTTTTATATAAAGAATATGACTTCTTTCAAATTACAGATTTCACATGCAGGAGAGAGGAAGCCCCAGAGAAGAACCACATGTCTTGTAAAACTCATGTTTTAGAAAATGACAAGTGTGATACGATCAATACTACTCTGAACCCTCTTAAAATAGTCTTATCAAATTTTAGAACTTGAAAGGGGCTTGGTTACAGTGAAAAACATCATTACAGAACAAGCAATATTTTTACAGGTGTGCTGCTTGGCTGTGGAAACAGATGTCGTCCATGGCATCCACATTCAGTTTTTAGACTGTGAAATAATGAACAGGAAATCATAAATTTAAAGAAAGAAATTTCGGCTTCATACAATATACAATAAACATAGGTAAAGCATTTCCTCTAAGAGGTAGCATAGGCTTCATAAAAGAGTTCAGGTAAATTCCCTTTTTCAAATCCTCAGTAGGCTAGCAGCAACTAGGATTTGGGTGTGTGTGGGGGAGTTGAAGGGAGGTAGGGTCTGCCCTAATAACTGTGCTGTTCTCTTACTGCGTGTTTCTTGGTACAATCATCATCCATCAGAATGGAATCATGGGTTGGGCAAATGTGACCTAGAACCTAAATCCTCATGCACTCGCAGCTGACTGCAAGGTCTACCCCAGCCTGAGTGCCCAGGGTCCATACAGCTTCCCCTGGTGGCCACTACTCACAGACACAGACACCCAAGAACATACCTTTTTCTTTTTACAGGTGTTGTTAGATTTCTTGCTATTTTCCCAAATAGATCTGAAGGTGTCTGAAGAGATCTGGGGAGTGACTGTGATTTTTAAGATTGGTAGTTTACCTGAATGGGGGAAGAACATACTCATAAATGGGTAGGATATTTCATAGCTCCACCAGATGGACTGGGTCTTGGGCTTCTAAGGGAAGCATTCCCCACATTCTTATTAGCTGGGCAACTTTCCTCTCGCCTGATACCCTTCCCCTGTATCTTCTTGTTGTGAGGGATCACGACAATTGCTTTACTCCTGAAAGAACTTCCCATACTTGTCATTTCTTTCCCATTCCCACTGTCATATCTTTTACCTGGATGACAGAGTATACTGAAAGAAATAAGTAAACAATGAATAAATGAAATGGTCCTGAAGTATGCTGTTTCCTTTTTAGTGAAAAAACAACCCTGTAAGATGTGTACAACAGCTTGTCTTTTTGTTATCTTTTTCTTTTTTTAAAAGAAAGAAGGTTGCTGATGTTTCTGAGCAAGGTTTCATTGTGCTTATTCCATCATCAAGGGTAGGTCGTTAAGAACTTCTTGGTAGGCAAACAAGTGACCTCAGGCTGTTAATTTGGATTTCATGAACAAATTAGAATGAGAATTTGAATTAGAAATTAGCTCATTAACATGCAAGTGGTAAGAACACAGAAATAATTAATGGAAGATCATTAGTTCTATAATCAGTGATATTACTAACTGCTTTTAATGTTTACAATGATGCCGTTAGGGCTAAATGGCAAGAGATTTTCCCTACAGAATCCAACCAGTGAACCTTGTTTTGACGATTCTTCCTTGGTGTTCAAATGAACAATCTGCTTGAAGTGCTCTGGGTGCATTAAGGCTACTCATGATGTATACTATTGTATTTGAAAATATAATTTCTTGAACTATAAATTACTTTTTAATGCTTTTTAAATGAATATTTGTATTTCTAGGTGGGTATTTCACAATTATCTTCTCATTTATGCAAATTAAAACATTTACTAAGCATGTGTGATGTTTTCCAGCTTCAAATACACTCAGTGATAATCATTTTCCATCAAGTCCTTTGAGACTGAACATCATTAGCATTCATTACAGCAATGGCCAGAAAGCTGCCTGCAGTCTCATAATGTCTTGTGTCACAGTGTATAATGAAAAAGTTACTGCGGTGCCAGGAAAAACAAAATGAAAGCATTAACCTGCTTTCAGTTTATTGAGCTTAAATTGAAACTAAATTTGAATTAAATTTAACAGGATAATTATGTTGAATCTGAATTTAATTCTAATGGAATAGGAAGTAGATGTTCTAATTCTCTAAAATAAAGGGATAATTTAAAAATCTTGGTATCACTCGATTGGCTGTTAAAAAATGCTATAGTTTTAGTTTAAAAAATAGCAACATAATAGACAGTAATATCATTATAATTCTTCTCTCAAAAACCCTGCCAGCATTAAAAGAAAAATGCAGTATATAATCATGTCACATGTCTTAGATCATTTCATTAGGGAAATGTAAAGACTGGATGCTTGTGCTACTTAATTCTCTCTTCTTGACGTGCCTGGTAACATACCAAGAGTGCGTCCCACTTTTCTCAACATTGAATTTGTATTTTCAAATCTGTTTATGAAGTGTTTCGTTGAGCTTCATTGAAAATGACATTTCTTCGCCTCCCCTGTATCAGCTGTGAGAGTAGCCATCATTAATTCTGGCCGTGCCTATTGGCAATGGAGACCAGGGGTGACCAACCTAAACCAACTCATTCTAAATGTGATTCTCTCCTTTCAAGGGGTTGCAGAATTAGAATGCTCTCCCTATGCCAATCACAATTTAACCATTCTTTGATGATCCAGAAAGCATATCATAACCTTATGAGGGCTGTTACTTGAGTTTCCCAACTGATATGTGGAGAAATCTTTGCAGGTTGGGCTGGGAGGAGAATGGAGTATGGGAGAAAGAGTTTTTTGGAGAATAAGTGAGGATGAGAGATGAGAGAGAGAGGGAAAAAACAATAGAGAAAATTTCACTTTATAAGTGTTCATTACTTAGTTTGAAGGCTGCATAGAAAATTTAAAATTTCATAAAATTTTACAAAGCATTCTTCTCTCTCTTTATGGGGGAGTGAGAGGGAGAGGACGCAGTCTGAGTGGTTTTTCTTAAAAAAAAAAAATTTTACAAAGCATCATAAAATTTCTTGAACCCTGCAAATCACTGGACCAGTTGACACAATAGTGGGCAGGCTGTGGCTGTATTCCTGGTCATCAAATAGTCCAGGCCAGTTATTTAAATGAAAAAAGTGGAGCAAGCTGTATTACAGCGTTTGGCAATGAGTGGGTGTCAGCAGAGAGAAACACATAAACCCAAAGCACTCTACCTGCCTTTCTGGCTCTCTGAGCTTCAAGTATGTCAGCAGCAGCCATTTCTCCCAGGACATTGTTTCCAAGGTCAATTTCCCTTAAGTGGGCAGAGTATTTGATCACGCTGCTCAAAGAAATGACAAAAAAAAAAAAAAAAAGGCATTTTGCCAAGCAAAGAAACTCCATCCAGTTATTTTAGAGAATGATCTTTCTTTTTAGATTCTCTCCATCACCCTCCCACCCCAACCCCAAGATGATACACTGACCCAATTTGAGACTGAAGACATCCTGAAGCCAGTTTTTCCCAATTTAATCTCTCTAGTTTGGATGCTTCTCCTAGGTAAATTGGTAGAATAAGGATTTTTAGTTGCCTTAAATCCACCATTTATTTACTTATTTAAAAGACATGGTGTAATATTATGCAGGACTTCCCAGTTGCTTAGATGTTACACACCTGCAAAATGTCCAAAAATTTGGAGAGACTGGCAAAGCTTTGGCAACTTCTAGTATGTCAAATAAATAACAACTCTCGCCTAGCAATACTATAAAAGAACAAATATCTTTACATAAAATTGGGAAGTGCATAGTCTCAAAATAAAGGATAGCTCTTTAAATCAAATAAATTTAGCTTTATGAAAAATAAACTGCACTGTCTTTATTTTTCTATTTTCTTTGAGGACTGTTGAAAATTCTTTAAAGTGTAGGCTTGGCACTGGCCTTCTGACTGGTCTTTGGGAATCTCTGGCATAACGAGTGGACACGGAATCTGGGTGAAGGCTTCGGCTTCCGGTCAGGTTTGACCCCTTGTCAAATCATGTAGTCATGGGCAGGCCATGTGCCCTCTCGGGTCTCGCCTTTTTCATATGTAAAACTGGCCTGAAAAGAGCTATTCTGCCTATTTCACAAGGTTGTGGTGAAATCAGAATTACATGTGAAAGTATCTTGCAAACACAATACCAATAATGCTATTATATTGAGTGCATACTTATTAAATGCATATTGTGTGCTTAGCATGGCAGGGATTAAGAGAATTTAAATACACGGCCTCTGCTCTGAAAGAAATTGTCATATAAGTATCAATAAAACAATGTGAGACTGGGCTTAGTGGCTCATGTCTATAATCCCAGCACTTTTGTGAGGCTGAGGCAGGAGGATCACTTGAGGACAGGATTTAGAGACCAGCCTGAGCAACATAGCAAGACCCCATCTCTACAAAAAATTAAAAAAATTAACCAGGAGTGGTAGTGAACACCTGTAGTCCCAGCTGCTTGGAAGGCTGAGCTAGGAGGATCGCTTGAGCCCAGGAACTTGAGGTTCCAAGTGAACTATGATCCGGCTCCTGGGTGATAGAGTGAGACCCTATCTTAATCAATCAACCAATAAAACAATAAAACAGTTTTGAGCCCTTACCACGTGCTGGGGGTATGAAATTTCAGTTAGGGTCAACATCGACTATAACACCACTCTCTTCCTTGCTGTACATATTTTCCACTGATTCAGCAGCCAGAATTCAAGGCTGGGGCTGGATGGTCCTGCCAGACTCTCTCTCTTGAGGGTCTCACTCCAAAGGAAAGTCTGTCTGGTCAGGACTTGACCAGCTTTGGTTTCCTTAACTGCCTGGCTGTGTCCAATTTCTTTGGACAAGATGGGTGAGAAGGGGAGCAGGGGGTCCACACGGAGGGCAGGAAGTGTGGAAGACAAACGTCATAATTCCACAATTCTGCATCTAGGTCAGCTCCAGAGGCCATGGATTTAACCACTGCATCATGCAGCCTCACGGGAGCTAAGCTTTGATGGGGCATTCACTATGCACCAGCTGTGCGACCAGGGCCACCCGCATGAGTCAGCACTAGTGCCCTGTACGAAGGTGCCTTCCGAGGGCGTGAGTGGGGCTGAAATCCAGCCCAGCTCTGGACCCTGAAGCACAGACCTCAAAGGGGAACTTCCTCTGACTCAGAGGTGATATCTTTATGATTTGTCTGTCAGGAGGGGCTCTTTTTCTAATTTGTACAAAGGTGCTATTCACAGTTGGTGCCCTGGGCACTATATTTAGCGCCTTACGTACATTGAACCCTATAACAATCACTTGAGTTAGACACTGTTATGATGTCCATTTTTACAAATGAGGTAAAGGGAAGCTATTTAACTTTCCTAGGGTTAAACTGCTAGTAAGTCACGGAGCAGGGCTGTGACGCCAGGCAATCTGCCTGATTCCAACATACCAAGAAAATATATGTTGCTCCCCAGTAGTTCTCAATTCTTACACTTCAGAAAAAGAAACAAAATGATTTAAATAGTTCGTGTCAGAATGAAACAACACGGGACAGGGATCCCTGGCACTGGTGCCCATCGACAGTGGTGTTCCCGCGCCCCGTCACACAGAGCCCCACACTCGGAAGGTCCCCTCGCTTGGTGTAGTGCTCTGCTACTGCCATCTTGAAATTCTTCATACTATTTGGGTAAGGGCTCACCAGTTTCCATGTTGCACTGGGTCCCCACAAATTACGTGGCCAGTTCTGCCGTCGTGACTGGTGTGTTCAGAGCTGAAGGCATCTGACGCAGGGCCAGCCTTCAGTCGCCGCACTGCTCTGCCAGCCCCTAGACCACTGCTTGCTAAGCCTGAGTGGAGGGAGGCCTGGTTCATGACCAGGGCAACCAGCCAGGCCATTTGGCTCCTGCCTTAAGCTCAAGGAAGCCACTGGCACTGGCTGTAGGGGTAGACTTATGCAGCAAAGCTGGGCCAGGCTCATCACAAGCAAAGGCCTGGCATCCCTTGTCCCCAGACTAGTTAATCTGAAGGTGGGGGATAGACCCACGTGGTACTAGGAAAAACTGAGGGGCTAATCTCGTTAGGTCTGCCAAATTTAACCTGCTCTGCTTGCTTTTGGTCACTTGGCTTTTGTTATTTTTTCCCCCATAAAGCTAAAAGCCATGCTGTTAAACACTATAACTTAACCTCCAATTGCTTCCTTAAAGATAACATTATTGTATGTCACCATGGTAATGGTCACTTAGATTGTTTTCAGGAACTGGGGGGCAGCTCCTGCCTAGTTCAAATTGGTTGAGACCACCAGCTCTCCAACTGGGCCTGTGCCAGTGCTCAAGAGGAGGCCTTTGGACGTCAGAGGGCCAAACCCTCCCCCCCCTCAGATCATGCTAACACCACCATCTCATGAACCTGTGTCCTATGAAGAGCCATGGGCCCCAGCCATGCTTGTGCACATCACTGATGACTTTATTTTTTCCCCACTGCCAATCATCTTTTCCCATGCCTTAGACTACCCCATTTCTCTAACCCATAAATATCCCTAAACTTTATCTTTGGGGAGGCGGATTTGAGAGCTGTTCTCTCTCTTCCTTGCTGGGCTGCCCTGTGAATAAATCTTTTCTCTTTTGCAAAGCACATTGTCACAGCGATTGGTTTACTACTCATGGACAGAGTGAACCTAGTTGGTATCATAAGGGTGACTAGAGCCAGCAGGTAGGCAAGTGGCTTGTGCCTCATATTCTCTATCACCAAACCTTCCCCCAACATAAATGCATATGCATAAGCTATTCCAAGTATATTCAATTAAGCAGACGCCACGAGCTGACTACACTAACAGGCTCCCAGACAATTATTCCCCTGGCTCCCCTTGCATCCACTGAGCTCCTCTTTCCTAGATATTCAGGACCCAAATGATAAAGGGAGATGAGCCACAAATGTGTTTCCTGAAATACTCCTGGAGTCTGTTTGATCGTCCTCCAACTCTCTCTACAGCTGGCTCAGAAGCGGGTCTGACAGGGCGGGCCGGGCGGCAAAGACAGTGCTCCCACTTCCAGGGCACAGCCTGTGGGCACTGCAGAGGGGTGCAGACAGAGCGCGAGTATCTGTGAAGGTGGAAATGGAGAGGGGTAGCTGTGCTTGAGGTGAGCATGCAACTCAATGCACAAGTCACATCAGAAAGTCACCAACTGCCCATGAGATGAGGTGAGGCTGAAAAGACACAGAAGTTAAATGGTTCAAAAACTATGGATGTTAAATTTGCACTAAGCTGTCATAATGAGTTCAAGTTGCTTAGGTCACTAAAGTAAGAATAGTTGAAAGGGAATGCAAAATCAAGGACAGTGGCTAAAAAATGGTCAGCAGAGGCAGGTTGTAGTCACCGTGGGGGGAGAGCCGAGAGTGGTGCAGGAAGAGTCGGGGTGAACCAGGTGGGTTGAGTGGAGAGGGGCACAGGGCGTACTCCAGGGTTCTGTGAGGGTGGGGTGCTTCCAACAAGGAAATGGCTTAGACTTTGACCAAGTAAGACCCAGGTTTAAAACTCAACTTTACCGTTACAACTCTGACATTCTGGGCAACTGATTTACCCTTGTTGAACCTTAGTTCGCTCAGCTATAAAGTGAGAATAATAACATTTATGACTGGCGGTTGAAGTGAGGAGTAATAAAACTATATTCTTAGCATCTGTTGCATAAGAGTTGCGCTATAAAATGCAGCAGGACTTTTGCTTTTGTCCATGATAGAGTAACAGGGACTGGATTTACCTTCTACCCAAAATCAATTTAAAAAAACAGAGGAAACATATTGAACAGTGGTTTTCAGACATTGGAAAATAGGCAGCATAGGACAATGATCCCTGAGAAGGGGGAACACAGAAGTGGGCCCCGTGAGTGTGCCAGCTTACTGCCTGACGAGAGTTTCCAGCCTGCAGCATTGGGAGGAAGGGGGTGATCCGATTCTGCTGGTCTCACTGAGTTTCCGTTTTGTGCTGGCTGCCCACAAATTACGTGGCCAGTTCTGCTATCATGTCTAGTGTGTTCTGAAGATTTGGGTAGAGATGGCTAGAATTTCTAGGATAGAATATTGGAGAGGAGAGGCCTTTACGGAAAAAGAGAGCTCTGTGCTTTCTGCAGTGGGCTTACCCCGAATCTTTGGTGGAGTACGAATCAGCATACACTTCTGGAGAAGTTACTAAGGGTAAGGAAGAATCACAGGACAGGAGCAGGTGGAATAGTCTCTGAAGTTTATCCAGGGCTGGAAACAGTTAAAATCCCCACCAGCCAGTGTAAAAACCTCCTAATACAGAAGGCATCAAGTAGAGTCCTAAAAAGGGTATGACCTCAGTAGTGGGACCAAATTCATCCTAGAGTAAAAGCTATTCTGGATATGTCCTAACAAAACTTTAAAGCAAACTTCAAAGGAATCCAACTCTTGCCAAGGAACTTAAATGCATTATAGAAAAAAATCCCCAAAATATTAAAAAGAATAAAAAAGGAGTTTAAAAAAATTCACCACCAGCCAGGTGCAGTGGCTCATGCCTGTAATCCTAGCACTCTGGGAGGCTGAGACAGCCGGATCGTTTGAGCTCAGGAGTTCAAGACCAGCCTGAGCAAGAGCGAGACCCCATCTCTACTAAAAATAGAAAGAAATTAGCTGGAAAGCAAAAAATATATAGAAAAAATTAGCCGGGCATGGTAGTACATGTCTGTAGTTCCAGCTACTTGCAAGGCTGAGGCAGTAAGATCGCTTGAGCCCAGGAGTTTGAGGTTGTTGTGAGCTAGGCTGATGCCACGACACTTACTCTAGCCTGGGCAACAGAGTGAGACTCTGTCTCAAAAAAAGAAAAGAAAAGAAAAGAAAAAATTCATCATCCAGCAACATAAATTGATCATGTCTAGCCTACAATAAAAAAATTACTGAAGCAGGAAAATTCAACCCAGAAGAAAAATTAATCAATTGAAACACCCCAAAAGGATACTAATAATATAAGTAGTAGTCAATGACATTAAAACATTTATTTTAAGCATACTCTATATATTCAAGAAAGTAGAGGAAAGTATGAAAACTGAAATGGAAGCTATAAAAAAGGCTAAGGTTGAACTTGTAGAGATTAAAAAGTACAATACCTGAAATAAAAAATATATTGGATAGAATTAACATAATAGTAGACATTGCAGGGGAAAAGATTAGTGAACATGAAGACATAGCAATAGAAACTATCCAAAATGAAATGCATAGCACAGTCATAGCATTGTTAAAAGAAAAAAACAAAAACAAAAACAAAATGAAATGCAGAGGAAAAACAGACTAAAAAAATTGAACATAACATTATTTACCTGTGGAATAAAATCAAGCAGCCTAACATACCTGTAATTAGAATTTCAGAAGGAAAAAGACAGGAGTGATAGAAAAAGCTACCTGAAAAATAGTGGTTGGTAAAAATTTTCTAAATTTGATAAAAACTGTAAATGCATAGATTCAAGAAGTTCAACAAACCCCAGTCAGAAGAAACAAGGAGAAAATCACACTAAGGCAGGTCATAATTAAATTGCTGAAAGACAGTGATAAAAATAAAGTTTTAAAAGCAGTCAGAGAAAAAAGAGACAAATTATATACAAAGAACAGACATAAAATGATGTGTCTTCAGAAGCAGCACAAGAAGACAGTGGAGCAACTTCTTAAAAGTATTAACTGTCAACCAAGAAATCTATACCTAGCAAAAAAAAAATCTTTAAAAAAATCTTTAAAAATATCTTTTTAAAAAATCTTAAAAATGTAAAAATCTAAAAAACAGACTTGTTAGATATATAAAACCTTGGAGAATTCATCGCTATCAGATCAGGACTATAAGAAATGTATAAAGTCAGTCTTTAAGACAGAAGGATATGATACCAGACAGAAATTTGAATATATCCACAAGAATGAAGAATGCTAGAAATAGTAAATTTGTGAATAAATATAAAAGACTACCACCTTATTAAAAATGTAACAATATATAATGCAAATGTAATAATATATTATGGGACTTATAACATTTGTAAAAGTTAAATATATTACAATGAAAGCACAACAATGTGAGGGAAATGAAAGTATACTACTTATAAGATTTTTATACTATAAGTGAAGTAGTGTAATATTATTTGAAGATAGACTGTAACAAGTTAAAAATGAATGTTGTAAACACTAGGGCATCCACTAAAAAAAAAAAAAAAAAACAGGTATAACTAATGAGTCAATAAAGGAGATAAAAATGGAATTACAAACATTACTCAATCCAAAAACAAGCAGAAGACTATTTTAAAAAGAAACAAAAAACAGATAATAATAGAAAAAAATGACATGATAGTAAATTAAAAACCCAACCACACTGATAATCACATTGAATGTAATGGTCTAAACAATTAAAAGACAGGTTGTCAAATGGATAAAATAGAAGTCTCAACTAAATGCTCTCTATAAGAAATCCAATTTGAATATAAAAACACAGGATAAAAGTAAAAGGATGAAGACAGATATGTTATGCTAATATATATATTTTTTAAGACAGTGTCACTCTGATGCCCTGGGTAGAGTGCCATGGCATCGTTGTAGCTCACTGCAACTTCAAAGTCCTGGGCTTAAGCAATCCTCCTGCCTCAGCCTCCTTAGTAGCTGGGACTACAGGTACATGCCACACTTGGCTAATTTTTCTTTTTTTAAAATTTTATTATTTTTTATTTATTTTATTTTATTTTTTTAATTTCGGCATATTATGGGGGTACAGATTTTAAGGTTTCAATAAATGCCCATTCCCCCCTCCCCCCACAAGTCTGAGTCTCCAGCATGACCATCCCCCAGATGGTGCACATCTCACTCATTATGTATGTATATACCTGCCCCCTCCCTAATTTTTCTACTTTTAGTAGAGATGGGTCTTGCTCTTGCTCAAGCTGGTCTAGAAATTATCAATAACAAATTATCAATATCAAGAGTGAAAAAGGAGACATCACTAGAGATCTGATATAAAATAATCATAAGGAAATATTAGGAATAACTTTATGCCTATAAATTTGACAACTTAGTTGAAACAAATTCCTTAAAAGACAAACTACTAGAGCTTTACCCAAGATAAAATAGCCAGAATAGCCCTATATCCATTAACAAAAAGGAGTTTGTAGTTACAAGTCTTTCCATAAAGCTCTAGGTTCGGAGGTTATCACTGATATATCTACTGAACATTTGAGGATGAAATAATGCCAATGCTACACAAATTATTTCATAAAATAGAAGAAGAGATAACACTTCCTAGCAAACTCATTCTGTAAGGCCAGAATTATCCTGATTCTAATACCAAAGACATTATAAGAAAAGGATAGACTAATATACCTCATGAACATGGATGCAAAAATCCTTAACAAAATGTTAGCAATATACTAAAAGGATAATATATCAGCAGTATATTAGAAAGGTAATAAAATGAAGTTTATTAATAAAATTGTTATAGAAAAAGCAAAACTACCCAAGTTGGAAATCTCCCCATCCTTCCTGAATAGGGAAGTAATGTACATTAAAGAGGGAATCTTTTTCTTCTAGAAAAAGAAATAGCCGTCCATCCTCCAGCCGCAAGCCCTGGCTGTGTTCTGTGACTCTTGATTGTCACATGGTGCTGTCACTACCGACTGCCTGAGACGGCATAGCCTGGAGCCTTCTCCGCACGGGACATTTTTCCTGCAGCAGCTGCAAACTCTGACTTGTGGCTCAGCTCACTGGGGGTGTAGATTCAGTAGAGCTGGACAGGGAGATGCCTAAGGTTGTCAGGATAAACATGGAAAGGAAATATTCTGCTTTCCAGATGCTTTTGAGAACAGCTGCATCTTTCTGCCTGAAGAGGCTGGGACAACTTTGTAATCAAACACGAAACAGTGTTTACTCCCAAGTAGGCTGCCTTTCTTCCTCAGGTCACCTCGCTTATATTTTACATTTATCCTGACTTTAGGGAAGAAAAATCTGGAGGTCACACCTCCTGTCTTTCCTCAGTTGCAAACTTTCTTTCCTTTTTTTTTTTTTTTTTTTGAGACAGAATCTCACTCTGTTGCCCAGGCTAGAGTGCCGTGGCGTCAGCCTAGCTCACAGCAACCTCAAACTCCTGGGCTTGGGTGATCCTCCTGCCTTCAGCCTCCCGAGTGCTCGGGATACAGGCATTGTGCCGCATGCCTGGCTAATATTTCCTATATAATTTTAGTTGTCCAGCTAATTTCTTTCTTTCTATTTTTAGGAGAGACGGGGTCTCATTCTTGCTCAGAGCTGGTCTCGAACTCCTGAGCTCAAACGATTCTCCTGCCTCGGCCTCCCAGAGTGCTAGGATTATAGGTGTGAGCCACTGTGCCTGGCTGCAGATTTCTTAAAATGCAGCTTCTAGTGGAGTCTTTGAGACCGTTGGGTTCCACACGACTGCCATTCAGTACCAAGTAAGGTGGGTCACATGTTCCCTTTAGGCTGAAAACCTCCTGGAAACTGTTAAAAAGCTGCGAAGCAATGCATTGTTATGTAATCCAAACACTATTTTGAAGGAACAAAAAAACCTCTTACTCTGCTACTCACCGTGTTAAAATTTGAGTGAATTCCAACAAGTCATTTTCTCCTCTTCCTTTTCCATCTATACCGTTATCTGCCAAGTGCAACTTCTCCAGCCAAGGACCAGCTTCACTCAGACCTTTACTCTTCTTCTTGACTCCTGCAAGAGAATCAGGGTACTTTGTTATTTTTAAAGAAGAGTTCCCCTGTTTATCACAAGCTGATTTTATTTTCTTAAGATGGTGCTTATTGGACTTGTGTGAGCAGATGCATTCTGCAATGTAGCCAAGGAGATACTGCAAAAATGATTTAAAAGTCCTCATTTTGTGCTTGGTACATTCTTTGTTCTCTACAACAGGAAGCCCAACATTGCTCTGCATGAGAGGAAATTCCATCTAAGATTTAGATTGTCCCATTTACTTTCACTAACGAGGGAAATTGATGTTTCTAGAAATTTCTTGGTAGAAGATGAATGAGTTGTCTGCTGATCCTGGGGAGGGGACAGCCCGTATAAGGGGATGCATTCTTTACAGGGGCCTGAAAAGTGAGCTCTGGAAGTTTGAAGGAGAAAGGACCATCTTGTCTCCGTAGACTTCATGACTTGAGGTCAGGGGTCCTGGGGTCTGGTTCACCCTCATCAGTCTGTGCAGCTTTTATAAAGTCCGTTGTCACAGCTGTGCAGCAGCATCATGCACATGTTTAATGTGTACCAGTTCGAGTGTAGGAGTTTGGCAAAGAGAAAAACAGGAAGGGGACGGAGTAAGAGAAATAGCTGTGGCAGTAATGCGGGCTCCTCCACTTAGTAGACGTGAAATGGGAGATCTTGAGCTCCAGCCCCAAAGCCAAGTTGCTTCCAGGGGCTTCCAAATGTTGACAGTTAAATGCACACCCTGAGCACTAGCCAGACACTTCATTCGGTGCCCCGCTGAAGAGAGAGCAGGTGATCTGTTCCAAAGTTGGGGAAGAAACTGTGTGAAGCTTAGAGATAATATGTCCATATGTTGCACTGTGTGGGCAATTTAAGGGATTTTAAAGGCTCATTTAACTAAATTTTACTAAATATACACTAATTTTGGTCAACATGATGACTTGAGAGCCTAACCCCAGGGCTAGACAAGACTTGGATTTATTCAGCATTTGACAAATATTTTTGAGCTCCTATGATGTGTCAGGCACTGGTCTGGGCCCTGGGGCTCCAAGAGGGAACAAAAGAGACAAAAATCCTGCCCTTATGAAGCTGATGTTAAGGGAATGTCCACTAGTGTGTAGGAAGACCAAGAAAGAGAGAAGAGTCAGTGACGATCAAGTATAAAGTTTCCAATCCTTAAAAGAAAACTGACTTTTTAGGGAAAGAAGGTAAATTTGGACATCGGGCCATCCTAGGTTAACAGTTGAAAAAAAGGAAAAAGTATAATTTTTTTTTTTTTAAAGAAGTTCCACTGGTTTTTTTTGGATATGAATCTAATTTGCTGGATTGTTGGATGAGATAGACAGGACTTATTTCCTTCAGAACACAGGTGCAGGGGTGAAAACTGGCCCACCCTTTGGTTTTACTGGGGATAAGCCTGTCTTTGTTCAATCTCGTTTGTCCTTGCGTCCAGGGTATGTGACAGCAAATGTCAGCTGTCATGAATGATGTAACAGTGTTATACTATTCATACTAGAACAGCATCTGGCACATGGTGGGTGTTTAATAATTGTTTGTTGAATAAATGAATCAATGACTAGTAGAGTGTAAAGTGCAATTGTATCACAGAAACTTTTATGTCGCTGTTCATTGTTTTTCCAAGTACAATGTCGCTAATGATGCCTTGACTCATGAACATGAATGGAATATAATTTTCCTATTTATAAAATCTCTTCACAAACATAAATGCCTTTGGAAAGTTGAGCTGACTGCCCAGAATGATTAATGATGTGGACACTGATCACATGTGGCACTGATTTCTTTTTGCCCCCTTCCGGCATGCCAGAAAGCAGCAGCGGCCAACAGGACAAGGCTTTAGGCCAAAGGCTAAATTCCTTTACTGCTGCTCAGTGTTACAAGGAAAGAAACCTTCTCAGCCAATCTACACCCCTAGCTGAGCCAGCGTGGCTAAAATGGGCCGTTGGAGAGGAACGATGCTTCCGGGCCTGCGATTGGCCTGGTACAACTTGCACACCCTTGGGAAAAACAATCCAAATGTCCCCCTAGCTGATGGTAAGATAGGTGACAATGTTATCTTTGCCCATGAAAAATAAGCAGTTTGGAAAATGATGGTGTAAACAACTCTCCAGAATGTGGCCGCTAGCGAGTCCTAGAGCCCCTCTTGGAAGGCAGGAAGGGGCACGCTGCTCAGCACACGGATTCTCTGCTCCAGGACTTTAACCGAAGTTTAAGCAAAACTAAATTCTTCTCTCAGGGTTGAAAGCAAATTCCTTGGTATAAGGGTGAGTACATGCTCAGGCCCGGGTAGTACTTGACTCACTCCAGCTATATTCACCCCAACCCATTTTTACCTATTCTTACATTTCTGTACAAATGTTTACTAAAACAAAAACATGCTCACCAACAATGACCACTTTAATTTACTCTCTGTCTCAAAGAACTTAGCAGTGACAAGGCTATGCCTAGATGTGCCTAAGAGGCAGGGTGATGTAGTAAAATTCATAAAATCCCCAGGTTTAAAACCTCCCTCTGGAAAGTGCTGTGCAACTTCTCGGAAAGTCACTTAACTTCCCTGAACCCAAATTTCCTCGCTGGTAAAATAAAGATCATAATGCTCATTTCGTAGAAGCATTGTAGGGACTGACTGGGAAGCACTGTGAAATAACAGTGTTAGGGGCCCTTAGTACACAGTGTTAGTGGCTTGCTTCCCAGAGTCACCTCTGGACTTCGTAAGTCCTGCAACACCAGGGTAGGAGCAACCTTCCTTCCACCACTGCCTCCCCGATGATCAGACATATATTCCTGACGCCGGCAAGCCTTGCCTGGAAGCCACTCTACAGACCCAGTATGGACCTCTGCCCCCCCTGTTTTCTCTCTGGTTAATTGCCAGACTTCGCCAGGCGTCCCTGACTTCAGAATCTTTCTTACCACTCCCATTGATCTGGCTACTAGATCCTGTCAATTCTCTTTCCTAAATATATCTATACTCTGTCTTTCCATCACCACAGCCTCAGGTCTCCACTTTATCTTCTCTTGCTTGAACTAGAGTGAAAGAATCCTGCTTGTCCGCTGGCTCTCTGCTCAAGGAGGACGCTCTCTGCCCCCACCCCCAGCACGGCTCCAGGCTCCTGCGCCAGCTCCCTGCGGCTACCATCATGATTATCTACCGGGATCTCACCAGCCATGGCGAAATGTTCTGCGACATTTACGTGATCTTGGAGACTGCAAATGGGCTGTGTCTGGGGGTGGAGGGGAAGATGGTCCATAGGACAGAGGGTAACATTGATGAGCCACTCACTGGTGGAAATGCCACTGCTGAGGGCCCCCAGGGTGAAGGTGCTAGAGTGCAGTAAACACCGGTATTGATATTGTCATGAACCATCCACTTGCAGGAAACCAGCGACACAAAAGAAGCCTACGAGGAGCGCGTCAAAGTTCACATGAATCAACCAAAGGCAAACTTGAGGAACAGAGACCAGAAAGAGTAAAACCTTTAATGACAGGGGCTGTAGAACACATCAAGCACATCGTTATTAATTTCAAAATCCCTCCCCATTCTTTTTTTTTTTTTTTTTTTTTTTTTTTTTGAGGGACAAGAGGTCTTTCAGCGTTGGTTTGGCCCAGGCTAGAGGTGAGTGCTGTGTGGGATCAGCCTAGCCTACAGCAACCTCAAACTCCGGGCTCAAGCAATCCTTCTGCCTCAGCCTCCCGAGTACGTCGGTGCTGGGACTACAGGCATGCGCCACCCTGTCTGGCTAATTTTTTTATATGTATTAGTTGGCCAATTTAATTTCTTTCTATTTATAGTAGAGACAGGGTCTCGCTCTTGCTCAGGCTGGTGTCGAACTCCTGACCTTGAGCAATCCTCCCGCTCGGCCTCCCAGAGTGCTAGGATTACAGGTGTGAGCCACCGCGCCTGGCCCCTACCCATTCTTTATTGGTGAAAACACAGTTCGGGTGGTGTGGCTGCCCTACTGGACTACCGAGAGGATGGTGCGACTGCAGGTACAATTTTCCTTAAGGATGGCTTAGAAATGGAAAGATGTTAACAAATTCAGCAATTACTTTGGACCTATCACCCGCCATCATAATTGCTGCTGCTTGTCATCCACATACATCCAGACTTAAGACAAATAGGGCTGGTGTCATCTTGAGCTCTTCATTTATCTTGACTGTGATGTATTTGGAGGAGAGACATTGTTTTTAAAGAACGTGGCATGTAGGTTGTCCAAAAATAAAACGAATTTAAACTAAAAAAAAAAAAAAAGCCCTCCTAGTCTCACATCGTCCAGATGTTTCTTTCTCTAAAGCATATTCTGCAAAGCTGCCCAAGATACTTTTGAAAAACACAGCCCTCACTATGTCATTGTCATGCTTCAAAACCATCAAGGCTCACCCTTTGTACACAGGAGAAATCTAACTCCCTAACTCAGCATTCATGGCTTTTGGCCATGTGGGTGCACTGGGCTCTTCAGCCACATCTCCCGCCGCTTTCCCGCCGACTACTCTGTGCTGAACATCAGACTTCCCGCTTGCCTAACACGCCAGGCACTTTCCTGCCCTGAGCCTTCCCTTACCCAGCTGACGAACCTCTTCTCATTCCTTCCAGAGAGAGCTCTCTTTCCCATGTAGGCCAGTTCCCAAAGGTCAAGTGTAAATTTTCATGGAAACAACATTCCCCCAGGGAGGTTCCCCATCTCTCTCACTCCCTGGCCCTTCCTGGGACCACCGGAGCAGGAGGGCCTCCTACATTCTGGCGGACGTCAGAGTGCTCTGCTTAACCGCTACTCACGTGTTCGTCTGTGGATGCCAGGCCCTGGTAGGACCTTCTCTTTGTGGTTGAATTTTTTTTTAAAGCTTGTTAAAAATAGCATCTTTCCATTGACAAGGAACATGTGTAATTTCCTGTGTAATTCCCAGTTTTATAAACAGAACATAAAGTCTGTTTGCTTGATTATAGGACTTAAGCAAAATGTACTTAGAGTTGGATGATTCACACCTTGGACCCTGGA